TTATTACAAATATTGCAAACTTTATTGCGTGGATACTTTTTATTCCACAAACCTTAACCTTTGCATATGACACATTTGCTATTTTTCTTTTTTACTATGTTATTAAGATTTGTGAAATAAAGTAAGTGAACAGTAATTTTCTTTTTGCATTACTGGATAATTGAAGGGGATGTTTACACAATGTGTTGTGTGAACATTCTCAACTTCTTTCAATATATAATTCACATAGACATTATTTTGGCTTGGAAAATGCAGTTAGACACAGTACCTAATAATACACACATTTTGTCATTAGCCTGGCTTAGACAATGTCTTTACAGACACAGGATGTCATAATACACATACACTATATTGCCAAAAGTATTGGGACGCCTGCCTTTACACGCACATGAACTTGAGTTGGCCCACCCTTTGCAGCTATAACAGCGTCAACTCTTCTGGAAAGGCTGGGAAACGCATTTGTGAGGTCAGGTACTGATGTTGAACGAGAAGGCCTGGCTCGCAGTCTCGGCTCTAATTCATCCCAAAGGTGTTCTATCGGGTTGAGGTCAGGACTCTGTGCAGGCCACAGAGTGTCTTTATGGACCTTGCTTTGTGCACTGGTGTGCAGGCATATTGCAACAGGAAGGAGCCATCCCCAAACTGTTCCCACAAAGTTGGGAGCATGAAATTGTCCAAAATGTCTTGGTATGCTGATGTCTTAAGAGTTCCCTTAACTAGAACTAAGGGGCTAAGCCCAACCACTTAAAAACATCCCCACACCATAATACCCCCTCCACCAAACTTTACACTTGTCACAATGCAGTCAGGCAAGTACCGTTCTCCTGGCAACCGCCAAACCCAGACAAGTCTATCGAATTGCCAGACAGAGAAGCGTGATTAGTCACTCCAGAGAACACATCTCCACTTCTCTAGAGCCAAGTGGCGGCGTGCTTAACACCACTGCATCCGACGCTTTGCATTGCACTTGGTGATGCGAGGCTTGGATGCAGCTGCTTGGCTATGGAAACCCATTCCATGAAGCTCTCTACGCATCGTTGTTGTGCCAATCTGAAGGCCACATGAAGTTTGGAGGTCTGTAGCTATTGACTCTGCAGACAGTTGGTTTCTTCTGCGCACTGTGCGCTTTAGCATACACTGACCCTGCTCTGTCATTTTTACCTGGCCTACCACTTGGTGGTTGAGTTGCTGTTGTTCCCAGTTGCTTCCACTTTGTTATCATACCACTAACAGGTGACCGTGGAATATTTAGTAGCAAGGAAATTTCATGGAACACCTGAATCCAATGATTTGGAGGGGTGTCCGAATACTTTTGGCAATGTAGTGTATATTGCTGGTAGCCTTGCATAGAGAAGTTCGGTATAGACACAATATGTAATAATGCACATACTGTATATTGTCAGTAACCTGACTTAGAGAATGCCTTTATAGACACAGAATGCAATAATACACATATATTGTCAATAATTCCACCCAAAGAATGCTGTTAAAGACACAATGAGGTATATTGATAAAGCAGTAAATGTAACATTCACCAAACATTCACTGAAGGTGAATCAGTCTCTGCAAACAAATTACCATGCACCAGAAACATTCACCTGCAGTGAATGTTTGGTGAAAATCTAATCACATTACCCGATATATATCCCTAATATGTAATAATACACACGTTGTCTAGCCAGGCTCAGAGAATGCTTTTATAGACGCAATATTTAATAATACCGCAAAAATTGTTAGTAGTCTAACTCAAGAGAATCTGTTTTGGTCTTGCAGTCTCAGAAGCCTTCTAATACTGCCGCAAGAAGCAGCCTACACAAAGAATTCACAAGAGTTATTTAGGGAAATGGAACACCAGGAGTCAATTTTCTCATCAGTTACATTTATTAAAATCCACTTCATATGTCTCTGAAAACCTAACCGGCAGCACATTTGCCATAATGATTCTAGAAAGAAATGAAGGAGCTGAAAATAGTTATTTGTTCTTGCTCAGAGTTCTCTGCTTCTCGGCATGTTCCACAATCTTCTCTACCACATACAGGCCTTTACGTTTCCTCACAGAATTCATGTACTTCCTGGCCTGGTTTTCAGAATCTGCCTTTTCTCCAAAGTGTAAGTATTCCTCCTCTGTGGTGGGTACCCAAAATGGGTCACCAGGAATGACCTGAGAAACATAATGAGAAATGTGGAAAAAGTAATGATAAATATTATTAAATAATATTCAATTCAAACAGATACATGTGGGGTATTAAGGCTGTACTCCATTTAAAAGCATAGGAATTGCCAAGTGTGTTATAACCATCTGTGTTCCTGGGTGGTCCAGTCTGCTACTTCCAAATCAACGACTTACGGGGCCCGTCAGTCAGCTCCTGAGTCTTCTCTACAGGAGCCAACCCCAATAAAGTCTACAGGGAAATCTGAAAACTCAGGGATAAGTGGAACAAGATCACAGGTCCTAAAGGATGAGCAACTGGACTTTGAAGGTGGTATATCACAGGTTTGGGAACTCAGAATTTGCACACCATTGATCCCAGTGTACCAGTCCCCGTTTTCTTGGACTAACCAAAGTCAGAATATGGAAAACAACCTTAGAAGAACAGAAAAAGAACTACCATACCTCCCAAGATTCTTCCACAGAAAGAATACATTATAAATTGTTCCCAAATTCATAAAAAAAATCTGCCCTTGCCACAGTATCAGTCAATCTTTCACTATTTAGGATAAGCGAAAGTTACCAGAATAATTCATGAGCAAAGACACATTTTCATGCATTCACAGATACCTAAAATGTCAACATAAACAAAAGAGATGCTGCAAAGCATACAAAACCTTTTTATATGCAACTGATTGAATATCTGGTTGCTATGGGAAACTTTATTTTGTTGTAAATTATTGCACTGTCTATTTAATAAAGAATAAGAGGAAAATAAAAGTTAAAATAAGTGAACTGTAATCAGATAAATAGTGATTCACAAAATCTATCCACAGTATACCCAATAGAGGGACACACAGATTTACAGAATCACTTCTGCTACATGTGTGTACACAAAGCCCATTAAAAGACTCCCCATGCTGGCAGCACAAGGCAGCAAATGCAGGTCTATATTCCCAACATCGTTAGCTTTTATGATATTTTTTTTTCTTGCTGTCATTATTTGTGACTTTGGCAAGAAGCAGCATATATAATTGACTGGATGATCACAGCGAATCAGAGTCATTTGTTTACTCTTTAGAACACCGACTGTTACACATTAGATGGCATAGGCACACAATTCTACACGGCTCTCAGAGACGCAGGTGTATTTTCAAGCCTTCAACTAGGGAGCTATTTTGTCAGGAAACAACTACAATAAAGGACCACCATATCACACAGCGCTATACAGATAATGTCTATTCATTGACATTAGTCTATACCCTGGTGGAGCTTACAGTCACTTGATCGATTTCTTGTAAATTCCTTTTCCCACTGGATAGCTATGTTGCTCTTAGTATCTCTAACAATGACCTTTCAAGTGTGTCAGCCATGTAACAGATTGGAGAAACAGGAATCATTTCCTTTTTTCATGCTTTTCTTTTCTCCATTATCAGATCAGGTAAAGCTAAGCCCCCTGACTCCTTCGCACGGACCGCACTTTGATATTTTTAATGCAAATAACTACAAGGATGCTAATGGAAATAGAGCAATATAAATATATGCATATCTCGATTAATGAATTGCTAGAAATAGGTTATCATGATAAAAGACTGTATGAAGTAAATAGCTACCAAATATGTCTAACTTTTAAAACTGTGAGCACCCCAAAAATGGCAAACAAAATTATGAAACTCAAAGTAAGCCAAAGGTAAAAAACCCACCTAGTGTATATAATATACAGTTTATAGTTAACTGTAAATAATGGTTCTAGAATGATTCCTCTCTATCCAGAGAGCACAATACTATTTGTTACCTGATTGTTATGTATGAACATGCCTCCTAGGTGTGTGCATGTAAGTGCATGGGGGAGGAGGGTCTTTCGTACGTTTTTTAAATTTATTTCTTAAAACCCTTTTTTTTTAACTTAACTTTATTGCTATCACAATTTCACATCATAATCACCAGAGAGTAGAGAAGGTGGCTGCAATGTACTAACTGCAACCTCTGTCTTCTGGCACCAACTTAAACAGTTCCTGTGAACCAGAGGACAGCGACCCAGCCAGAGAGAATCAATTAGATTATTTTTCTCTGAGGGGAACTATAGTGACCAGAACAGATTTTTTTTAAAAGTATACATGCATATTTCATCATTTTTTGTCTCTTTAAAAATGCTAAACGTACAGGAAAATACCTGCTGATCTGCCAGAAATCCAGCTAAGGTTTTAATTTTGAATGCTTCAGCATGACAGCCAAACAACTAGCACTTTCAGAGGTAGATGGCTATAGTGGTCTGCATGCATCTTTCACGACATGTTTTCTTTAAAGGGTATGTAAACCCTAACAATTCAATTATTTTATTTGCTACCTTTTGGTCAGCTAAACATACCAGTGAAATAGTTTTGTTATATCTGTTCGATAAGTACAAAAAGGGACATTTTGATCTTGATGTAAAACTGACTTTTATCCACCGTACACTTCCCTTGTTATCTCAAGGAGTCTAATGAAAGTGAAACTAAACTCAGTAGTTAAATCATAAAAATTAATTCAAGTATCTTAACTATTAAAAAAATGTATCTTATTTGTGTATCACTCAGCTGTAGATCCTCAAATCATCTCTGAATTGGTGCTGACACTGTCCTTCCTTCTGGACAGTGTCAGCACCACTGACACTGTCCAAGGGGGCTACATTAAGGTTCCCCATGGTCCCCGTGTGTGATGTCCAAGCTTACTCCTGTGATAGACTATAATCTCGTGTTTAGTTTACTAATTTGTATTGAGATTGTAGTCCATCACGGGAGCAAGCTTGGAGCGGTGGCTACTTTACAACACACTGGGACCATGGGGAACAAAAGTAGCCACCCTCCAGAAGGAAGGACAGTGTCGGCACCAATTCAGAGATGATTTGAGGATCTACAGCCGAGTGATACACAAATAAGATACATTTTTGTTAATATATAAAGATACCTGAAAGCATTTGTAAGATTTAACTACTGAGTTTGGTGTCACTTTAACCCTCCTAGTTCTTATCTTGGACTGACTAAGTAACAATTAACATCTATGTTGTAGAGATGGAGAGTGGTAGGGATTGAGTAGTTTAGCAAAATACAACTGACAGGGCTGACTACACTCTACAAAACTGCTGTGTGATTAGACCTTAAGAGCCAAGTGCCTTTCTGGCAGATTAACAGGTATTTTCCATATTTGCAGGGTTTGAAAAGAGATAAACCCTGGGGAAATGTGCACATATTACAGAGATGTACTGCATATGTTTATATTTTGTTTTGCCCCGATATGCACATTAAACAAGGCACCTTACTTCGAACTGAGTGAAAACGATACAAACAATGAAGGCAATCACGATTTATGTGCGTTTCTTGAGTTGGTGGCCAAATGCAAATACCCTTTGAGTCTATTTTATTAAACAATGCTTAGTTCAAGTAACTAAGGTTCACATAATGTTTATGGTCTATTTATGCTATGTACACTCAATTTGTAACAGTGTTTCTTGCAAAGAATATAGAAATTATGATGTGATTATTCAGCCATTTTAACACAAGACTTCGTTGCACTCCAACTACAACACATAATGAGCAGCATGTTTTCAGATTCATGAATAATACAGGAAAAAGGTGTTATTATCACATTGAATGGAAACTCATACAATGTAATGTGTCCAGATTAAAAGGTTCTACAATTCCACAGTATGCGTTTTGCGGTTATACTGAACACACGCTACACATACATTATGTAATTATGCAGCCAGGCTCTTTGGCTACATGAAGCACGACTGATGTACTTGAGAGCATGAGAGCAGTGAAGTATAGGCTCCTATGTGAGCCCTAGCCATTATGTATATACCTCCCAGTACAAAAATCCACAGCATAATCTTACAGGTTAATCCTATTTGCGCATTCATGAACACATTCTCTCTGTAAAGAAAAAAAAAAAAAAAAGCACAAATGGCAAATTACCAAAAAAGAAAAGCTAAATGAGCAATCAATGCTGCTCTCTTTTTGAAAGTAGGATTGATTGATGAGAAAAGCTTTTCGGTCTTATCTGTGTGTTCAAACATAGGGCTGTGATATAAAGCATAAAATGACAAATTACCCAGAGCTAAATTAGGAAGTTGGCAAGGAGCCCCTAAGTCTCTAGTGGACAGACAGGTACCATTAAATGCAGGACAGATGGAGTGAATCTTAGCAGTAAGTAAACATCTATCCAAATCTTTTTCTGCTGAGTGAAAACACCAGGCTCTTCCAATGGGAAATCTGTCACATTGCATCTGCTGCTGATACATGATACAGCACAAGCATAGGTAAAGCAGCAGCCCATGTCTACTACTGCAAACATTCCCCAGACACCGCCACAATCTTTAACCATTTGTAATCACAGGCTTGTCTGTCTGTGTGCAGAGGCACTGGCCACGACCACAATGATCCTTTGTCTGGTTGAAGTGTGTAACAGAAAGGATACTGATTATAATAACCAAGGGAGTACTGGGTGGTCTATATAAAAAATACAAAAATTAAAAAAGTACCCGTACAGGTCCAAGTGCAACAGCAAGATTACAAAGACAACAAGCACACTACAAAGAAAAAAAAACACTGCACGCACGCATCTGAAAAATGCTTGAGTGTACAAGTGACATGAATATCCATGAGATATCTCAGATTATATATGCAGACAAATTATGCCATCATTATATAGGATTTATGTCTAGAGACCAGTATGTCACTCTTGTGAAATTTAACATATTTAGAGGGAAAAAATTAAATGGACTTTAACAAACCATTTTTGTTAATGGTCATTAAGCAGCAAATCACAATTTTGGAAGCACAGAAATTACAGTGATTGTGGTCAAATTCCAGATTGGTTGCTCCTCTCTTGCACAGTGCTCAGTAAGCAGATACATGTGAACCATTATAGAGTACATAAAGCCTAAATGTATTATTTAAAGTTTATTACAGAGTGGTAAGGGGCCAGAGCCCCTAGCAAAACTTTTTTTTGTTTTGCTGTATATACTGGGAAGA